CATATATTTTCTTAGGCTCTAATAATGTAGGCGAGCGCTTCCAAGTCCCAAGTTGATTGCATTGTGCTGCCATCTAATGTATTATGTCAACTGGTGTGTGAGTGTTGGTGCATGGACAAATCCAATTTTATGCGACCTGTAGGCGTGATTTTTTCCCTAGGTCAATCAAGAACATAGGGCTCTAGTGAGCGCTGCTATTGGTTGAGTTTGTTTCGTCGCTCAATGACGTCACAGTGTCGTCATATTCATAGCACATCCAAAATTCATAATTACAATATTCCTCAATAGCAAACCACAGCACGCAATTCAAGGCTGAAAGGTCGGTGGATCGAATCCCATCATTTTTTTAATTTTTTTGTTTTCTATATTTTTCTATCTTTATCCGTTTAACCATTTTTTCCCCAAATAATGCAAATATTTACATGATTTATTTACAAAAATTTAATAACAACAATTAATTTTTACAATTAAAATTGTATTTTTTATATATTTGTTTAAATAGGGTTTGGGTTATATTACTAGGGTAAGGGTTAGGGTCACAATGCAGTGAATGCACCATAAAACAGGAGTTTGAGGCACGTGATTTGTATCAACCAATGGCAACGCTCACTAGAGCCCTATGTTCTTGATTGACATGAGAAAAAAAATCACGTGACCTGTAGCTGTGTCGTCATTCTATAGACATAGTAATGGTGAAGGCATAATAGTCAGCTTTCACACATATTATTTCCGTAAACTATTAGACTATGTACAAATATTGATGGAAAACTAACGTTCACAGGTTTAATACCCATACTAACGCTGTTGCGTATGATGTGAAACAACCTGGCTATGCATTGTGCCATCGTTTGCGTTCTGCTAAACTTAAAACTGGACAAAACTAACTATAGCTTTACTTTATATACGACTTGTGTATTCCATTACATACAGACTTATTCACTAGACTTACTACTCATGAGATCACGTTGGTTTCATTCCTAGACTGAATGTCATAATTGTAATCAATTCAGGCTGCATAAATCAGGCGACGTTTGACCAGTCTACGTCACAGTTGGCAGTTTAAGATGTGTTTGAAAGCGTAATGCGTATGTGACTATAATTCCATGAAAATAATGATGGATTGCGTTCAATTTACTGAAAAAAGGATCTTACTGAACAAAAATCCCGATCACAAAGCACAGAACTAATGTTTAATGGGGCGCGAGAGGGTCTGGATAAAACGGCTTTAAACTTATACGCTCATAGCAAATCAAAGTCGGTGAAGCGGCTATATATGAGCATCTGCTAAGCTTACGAATGCAATTTGTTGCACACATATATTATAATGTAGGAAGGCGGATGAAAGGCGCATCCATCCTCGTTCGCGAGCCGCAGCGCATTTGCATACGGCAGCTATGAGATCAGCATCAGTATAACTAGTGTAGGCCAACTGCCGCGAACCCAACTGTGCTTGTTGATAGTTATGATTCTTATGAACCATCCTATGATAGGTCACAGTGGCAGGTGAACCAATTGATTTGTAGGTTGTATTTGTTTGGGCAGATCAGGATCAAGTGATTCTGATGAGATGCATCCGTTCCAGCAAACAGACTGTTACTGTTTAGTGACATTGTGTAGCAACAAATGCCAACATGGTAACCCAATGAGCTACTGCTCGCCAGCTATTTAACGATGCTATATGTTGTTATATAAATTGCAAGTCAATTCTACACATTTTATTCATTGCGCTAAAAGTACCTGATTTTGTCTTCTAAATCCATGTTCGCCATTAGCAGGACTGCTCATTCGATTTTTAAATCGGCCTCTTGCTGGGAACTGGGGTTGATACGCACTTTGATTTGAATAGGGACTTGCATAAGGACTGCTGTGTCGTGGAGTAGAGGTTAACGGAATAAAGTCTGAAGATCCGGTGTTATGTAGAGGAGATCCGGTGTTATGTAGAGGAGAACTCGGATGCTGTTGTTGCGATGGAGAGCGTGACCAGTCAGGTCGCGTCCCGCGGTGAGAAAAACCTCGATTTCCTATGCCAGCTCCGCGGGAACTGAACGGTGAGTGTTGTTGCTGAGGCCCACTATAAAATCTCGGCGCGTTTCCTTGTGCATGTCCATTACCTCTCTGAAATGGTGGCGACTGCATATACGGATTAGGAGGGAAAGGGTTTCTGTGCATGTTTAAAATTATTGGGCGAACAACAAAACAGATCACTTTTGGGACACGACATGTGCTGAACGTCATCACATGAGCCCCTATTGTCGTGACGTCATTCGCACGTTTATTCCACGGCGCCACCTCGTTGTTTTGAACATCACTTGCGTAAGCGAAGAATGCGTGTTCATTTCTTCGGCTTTATGTCGGTGAGTAGAAAACGTTTGCTTTTTAATGACAAAGTTTATCGTAACTTAATGAGATAATATGAGCAACTGTTAGATTAACTGCACAACATAAAGTGAGTTACTATATACCATGTCTTAATTATCGGGCCGGTGGGCGAGCCAAGCCAAACGGTGCAAATCCACTTTAGCCTAGGCACCTTAGGTATCACGGGTACAAGTAGCGTTTACACACCCATGTTGTGAGTTTGGTTAGGGTTAGGGTTAGGGTTTTTAAACCTGGGGTTGTCAAATAGGAATGGGCCCCTAGTACTACTAGTACTACTAGTAGTAGTACTCAGTAGTACTACTACTAGTACTAGGTACAATAATGTAACCCAAACACAGGATAGGTTATCCCCCACCTGTCCTGTGTTTGGGTTACATTATTGTATCTAACATAGTACATACTCATACAACTCTAGTTCTAACTTCTATAGCCCACGTACAGTGTACGCGGGCTATTATAGTACTACTACTACTACTAGAGCTAATACTCAGTCATGATACTGTGCACAGCCACTGCCACTGGCCACTAGCAGCAAGAACAAGCCCGCACGTACAGCACACACGTACCCATTGACTATAATAATAACCTGAACCTTATTATTTGTTATAATAGTCATAAATAATAACGTATTACCGTCTATAACCGTATTGTGTTATTGTGTTATTGTGTAGTTCCGCGGGATATGCGCACGCGACCGCGGGGATGTTCAAGAATGAAGCGCTGTCCGCAGTGGAGACGTGCGCCAAATTCGAGGCCCGGCGCACGTCTCCACAGCGGTCAGCGGATGGTCTGTAGTTTTAGAAGATGACAATGATTATATGGACGATATTCTAGAAATTGGAGATTATAACAGTCACTAACAGTCGAAGAGCCTGGTCGGTTTAGCCCCACATTAGCTGAATAAAAAAAGAGTAGAACTTAATATGAACAAAACAAATATAGGGAGGGAGGAGAATGCAGGAAGGAAAAGACGAGAAAGTGACGAGAAGAGAGAGAGAGAGAGAGAGAGGAGAGAAGCGAGAGCCGAGAGAGCGAGGCAGAGGAGAGGGAGAGGGAGAGGGAGAGGAGAGGAGGGGAGAGGGAGAGGCGAGAGGGACAAAAGGGAGAGGGAAGAGGGAGAGGCGAGCACGGGAGAGGGAGAGTCGAGAGGGCGAGAGGCGAGAGGCGCGAAGGAGAGGGAGGGAGGACAGAGGGAGAGGAGAGCGAGCAGGAGAAGGAGAGCTAGACGACGAGGAGAGGAGGAGAGGGAGCAGGGAGAGCGAGAGGAAGGCGAGAGCCGAGAGAGCGAGCAGCAGGAGAGGCCGAGAGCGTGCAGAAGCGTGCAGAGAGTAGAAGGGAGAGGCGGGAGAGAGAGAGGAGAGCAGAGCGGAGAAATTTCGTAGATGGGCTAAAGCGGTATTGTATACTGAAAGGGTATATATCTGTATAGTGCGATGTCTGCATGCATTAACTGCCTGAGCAACTTCGCGCAAAGCCTAATGCCCATTATGATTCTACTTATGTGCTTTCACTTGTAAAGAGTAATCAGCACACTCTCAACAATTCAATTATGCAAATTGTATTATTGCTCAAAAATATTTCCACTTTTATAATTAAAGTTTTGCACATTAATCGTCATTAAAATCATAATAAGCTTAAAGTCTATAAACCTCCAACAAAAATAGCTCGTTATTAGGCCTACTGTGAGCCATACTTGATGTGGCAACATCACAAAATTCTCATGGCAGCCAGAAAGTGCTCCGAATTTGACTCTTCTGAAAACTCTGTCGTGACTCATTTTTACACACTAGCAGTCGCCTACGCTAGCGCAAAATAAGTTCTTGGAACGAAAAAACACTATAATTTGTTCCTGATTGCATAAGCTAAATAATAACAATATGCAAACCAAATTTTAAAATTCTTACTGAAGTAAACATCGAATAATGAATATATAACTTGTTTTATCCTGAAAAAGCAACTGTTAATGAATCGAGCCGATTCGCTCCGCTGTTTCAAGATGTCGCTAAACATCACTGCTGGCTGCCTATACGTTCTTAAGAAAAGTATTTCATTTAGATTTTCGAGAAAAAAAGTATATGAAAGCCAGCAATACGATCTGAGTTGTAGTGAATTTTTGCAACATATGTAAGCTCACATTATTTTATCACAGGATTTTATTACATTATTTATTTCACGGGAATTAGTCACCGTGCAAAATCTTATAACGAGCCCACAATAAATTCCACGACACGACTGTACCTGACTACCTGCTGCATTTTTAAAATATCTTCACTGTGCTCATGTTACTCTCCGTCTACGTCTAACTCACTTAACTCACAAACATACAACCTACTGAACTCACAACATCGAACGTACTAAACTAACAACATCTTAACGTACTGAACTCACAACATACTTAACTCACCTGATCTCACAACATCTAACGTACTGAACCAACCAAACATCGAACGTACTGAACTCACATCCATCTAACGCACTAACTCATCAACATCTAACTCACTGATCTCACAACATCTAACGTACTGCAAACTCACAACATCTAACCTACTGCAACTCACAACATCTAACGTACTGAACTCACAACATCTAACGTACTTAACTCACATCATCTAACGCACTGAACTCACAACAGGGGCATGATTCGTCCCCGCGGTCCCAACAAGGTGTGTGGGCCGCAAATCAATCACTTAGAAGCCTACTCTAAAGTAAAGATGAAGCCATGCAAACAGCCTCCGCCTACTAATGTCTGCCACACAGAGTAGCGTCATTACAAACGGTGCGCAAGTCGTAAAGCGATACAAGCACAGTTGGGTTCGCGGCAGTTAATGGCCTACACTATTATACTGATGCCTGCATCTTCATAAGCTGCCGTATGCAAAATGCCGCACTGCCGCCCTCGCGAACCAGGAGATGCGCCTTTCATCCGCCTTCCTACATTATAATATATTGATGCAACCAATATTGCATTTCGTACAGCTTAGCAGATGCTCATATATAGCCCTTCACCGCACTTGATTGCTCATGCAGCCCTATAAGTTTTACAAGCCTTTTATCCGACCCCCCCCCCCCTCTCCGCGCCCCCATTAAACATTATTCTGCTTGCTTGTCACGCGATTTTGTTCAGTAAGCATCCTTCTTTTCAGTAAATTGAACGCAATCCATCATTATTTTCATGGAATTATAGCTCACATACGCATTTACCTTTCAAACACATCAAACTGCCTAACTGTGACGTTTCAGACTGGTCAAACCTCGCCTATTTATGCAGCCTGCAATGATTACAATTATGGACATTCAGTCAGAATGAAACCAACGTGATCTCATGAGTGATAAGCTCCAGTGAATAAGTCTGTATGTAATAATACACCAAGTCGTAATATAAAGTAAAAGCTTATATTAGTCTTTGTACCAGTTTTAAGTTTAGCAAGAACGCAAACGGATGCACAATGCATAGCCAGCGTTGTTTCACAATCATACGCAACACCTTATATGCGGTATTAAACTCGTGAACGTTAGCTTTTCATCAATATTTTTAACATAGTCTAATAGTTTACAGAAATAAATCGCTGTGAAAGCTGACATCTTATGCCTATCACCATTACAGTATGTCTAGAGAATGACGACAAGCTACAGGTCACGTGCATTTTTTTTCTCATGTCAATCAAGAACATAGGCTCTAGTGAAGCGTTCGCAGAGTGCCATTGCGTTATACAAATCACGTGCTCAAACTCCTGTTTATGGTGCATTCACTGCATTCGTGGACCCTAACCCTTACCCTCCAGCGAATATAAACCCAAACCCCTATTTAAAACACAAACTATATATAACAAGTCCGCAGAGCACAGCCGCCTCATCTAACGTCTACCGTGACTCTGTGGTGGCAGTCGTGGATTCTATAAACCCTGTAGTCCCAAATTTCACATTACACGCCAAACAGTTCTGCGAATCACAGGTGTATCAAAACCTTCTCAAAGGAATGTTCTTGGCAATCGTTTATGAAAGTTAGCCACGAGATGCACGTACGTTTAATGCAGGCTTCTTCGAATAGCCGGTAACCGTATCTTTTACCGCCTATCGCCGCAATTTGTTACCGGCTATCAATTGCAGAGGGGCTGAAACTCCCACTAAAGTGGCTTAAAATATTTAAATCCATATCTGAAAAAACGAAGTTTATTTTAAATACTTCCAACCCAAGACTAACTCTGTGCAGGCGCGGGTCGCCGGCCAGTTTGTTTAGGTCCCAAGTCACACACATGACACGACGCACGGCCCCCGCGCACTGAAAATCACTATTTGGCCAGTGCCTTGTTGTCGCTGCGGCCCTCAGCCATCTCGCTTACTCTTCGTCGACGCGCCGCTGCACCAACGCTATTGCATGCCGTTGTCATTCGCTCGTGCGCGGCCGTGTGCTCGCGGATTGTGGGTGGAGCATGTTTCAAGATAGGTTGGGCGCACGATCCGACGCATGAAGGCTACATCCCAGACAGGACGCCAAGACACGCGGCTGCAGCGCGCTCGACCAACGCCAGACCCACCGGAAGCCAACACGATGGTATTCGTTGTATGTTCGTCGCTGACGTACAACACCCGGGTAGCGCACACCATAGCGCCACAGCCTAGCCGCTTTCTAACGCATGGTACAGCGAACATGCACCCGAATCATGCGCGTGCTGAGACGAGATGCCCTCAAACGAGTGCTGAACCGACGCTCTGTCAGGAGCCCAGCTCTTCTAGCCGGTTCCACAATACTGTACGCAAGAATGTATACGCCATGGGTACATAACGGCCGTCGCTCACCACCTCATCATCAACTTCTCCTCCGACCCTAGGGATGATGACAGAGACCTGCGATCGGTCGTCTAGAAG